TAATGACCTGGTCATTATTTGATGACTCGAGGTCATTAGTCATTTGAGCAAATGACCTAGTCATTTACCATCACTGATAACGATAATGATAGTCTAAGCGGAATTTGCTGTGACTTCGATGTCACGCCTCTTCAGACATAAATTATAAATTTTTTCACACATATACGTAACATCGATATTAATTAATACAAAACTCCGCATGCATGATTAAGTTTATATGTAAAAATCTGTCTGATGAAAGCATCGAGAATTGGGCGTTTTTATTTAAAATTGTTGTTTACAAATAAAATGATTCTGATGGTAAAAAATAATATTTATTAAAGACATGAAGTTAAAATTATGTCATCGATCCGCCCATCCATGTTGCTTTCGTGTCCGGGACCCAAAGCCAGTCTCTAACTTTGGGTACACAATTATTAGGAGATAATCTTAGTTTGTGTAGTTCTTTTGTTTGATTTTCAAGTCCATCCTAAAAATCAACGAAATAAGTTATATTGAAGCTCTTGATAAATTTAAACACGAATATACAGTATATGGAAAATTCTCACTATTAGTGCATATAACAATTCAAAAACCTCCAAATAGTCGGCGACTTCAACAAAAGAAAATGGCAATCGGGCAGATTTAATTTGTGCAGTTTTATAACGATATTTTTCAATAAGCGAAAAGTCGCATAGTGTTATTCTGTCTCCTAAACAAGTATTATATATAAAAAGATATCTTTCTAAAGAAAACCAACTGGTATATAGTAATATAATAAGATCTATTACCAATACATTGTATAGTATAAACTTTCACGTTCTTTGCCATTTCAGCAGATTTATCTAAATAATTTCTAAGTATTAAAACTAATCCGAATGTTGCTTCTTTTAAAAGTTTCTCTGCGTCATCTTTTATATGGTTCTTATCAGGATTACTGGGGCCACCGGATACCTCAATAAATATTACCACATGATTACTTGAGACCTTTATGCCAATACCATCGGCTTTGTTAATAATTAAATCAAAATTCGGAAATGCTTTCTGCATTTCCTTAATACTGTTTACTTGGATCTCTATCCAGTGAAACTTATATTCACAGTATGTCGATTGTAATGCTTTGAAAAGTGGTACAATGCGTTCTGCAGTATAGGTTCTTTCGCCTATATTGCGTTCCAATCTACCCTGTTGTGTCATATAGTAACTAATTTTGAAATTACATAAGCAAACTTGTTATACTAAATAAATCAAAATTTACAATAAAATAGAGCACTTACAAATCGCACAGAACCATTTCACATACAAGTCGAAAACGATATAGATCTTTAAATTCTTCAGGTTTGAATGGAGCCATAATAGCGGTTTTAAATTCTTCTTTATTGGTCTAGATAAGAATTTTGATAAGATATATCTTAAACAAAATAAACTCGTTAACTTACCGAAAGTGTTCTGACAAGCCAGTCATAAATGATACCCGGAATTTGTATAGAATCCTCCTCTGTTTTTATAATTGCATATCGATCATTTGTTTTTATTTCTATATGATCGCGTAAATATTGAGCTGATTTTTTGGAAAGAACGGGTTTTAGTGGAGTTATGATAATATCTGCCTCGTTGGTCTCGGAGATGGTGTCGTGGACTAACAAAACATGTATTATTCATATATTATTTACATATTATATTTTAGAGAAACCAAATCATATAGAATTAATACTAATATGATACTTCATGGTTAAACTCTAATCCAAGTAAATATCAATTAAATAAAGATAAATCTAGAAATCTAACATTAACTTACCTTGAGTTTTCTTTATATTTGTATTTTTTTTTCCTTTATCAGTTTTTTGCTAAATTTATAAATATTTTTTTTTTAATGTTAATTTATAATATCATTACTTCTTGCATTGATGCTAGCTACTTGCCTTCTTATTATTACGATCTAATGTGGAGTTGAAAGACTCTGGATCAAGATCATTGTTATCGTCATCAGGAAAGTACTTTTATGAAGGACGCAATCTGGTTAGTAACAATAATCGTATAATAATCACATAACGTCTACTTACTTCATTGTCCTCGGTCTCGGTCAAATTACCATTAGAACATACAGGCTTTCTCTTTGCTGATTTCTTCATAGAAGGTTTCTCTTCCTATAAAAATATAAGTTCTGTATCGTGAATGACATAATGAGAAAGACCATTAAGGACCTACCAATTCTGTTTCTTTATCGTTACCAAGGTTTTCAACATATTTTAATTTTTGATCATTTAATAAACTGTGTCCTTTATTCCCTGCCTTAGAATGTTCTATTACGAATTCAGCCTGTAAACAAAACAACAAAATTAGTAATCTTCTACAAAATTCGATATTCAATATATATATAATATATACTTGGGATAATTTTATATCAATTTCTTTTTGTTTTAACTCAATTTCCTTCTGCTCCAGAATAATCACTGCTAATTTCCGTTCAGACTCAGCCTTTTCCAGATCAATATCAAGCCAGAATTTTTTAACTTCTTCTGATCGTACTTGTTGCTTAATGGAAGTTGTTTGGAAAAAGTAAAGGTTTAAAAGGAATATTTGTTGTTTGGTTGTAGTATGAAGCCCACCAGAGACGTACTCCTTAACTAACCCGAGACGCACTCAAGTTGATTAGGTGGTTGTTTCGACGCGTAGTCCAACTTCATATAACTTATCTCGAAGATTAAGAAGCCCGCCGAAGTCATACTCCATAACAACCCGAGACGTACTTGGGTTGCTTAGGCGGTTGCATCAACACGTAGTCCGACTTCTAACCTTCCTATTTCTTTTGATGTACAGCAATAAATTCTACTTACCTTTACTGAAATATTTTCACCCGCGATAACCCATTGATGATCAGTAGTATCGGAGTTAAGGTTTTCCAAGAATTTTGATATCGCAAAATGTTCTTTACAGCTGTCGTAAGTAAAATCATCTTTTGTCTTACGAAAGTTTAGGA